AGGAGGAGCCTGCTCTTCTTTTCCTTAACAGTTATCAATTTCCACCCTGTTCTGCCCCCTTCCTTATCTGCCCCCCACGGCAGGGGTTTTGGTATCTTGCTCAGGGCTGTGTCTGCACCCCAGAACAGGGCCGCACACAGAGTACATGTGCTCAGAAAACATTTTTCAATGAACAAATGAAAACTGCACAGCATTTTATTTTATTTTATTTTATTTTTAAAGATTTATTTATTTATTTATTTGAGAGAGAGCGAGTACATGAGAGGGGGGAGGGTCAGAGGGAGAAGCAGGCTCCCCGCCGAGCAGGGAGCCCGATGCGGGACTCGATCCAGGGACTCCAGGATCATGACCTGAGCCGAAGGCAGTCGCCCAACCAACTGAGCCACCCAGGCGCCCTGCACAGCGTTTTAAGCACTCTTCCTGTGCTATACACTCTTTGAAGCATTTAGTCCTCCCTCCACCCTCAATGATAGGCACCAGATGACTTTATCTCCCCTAAGAGGTGAAACACACCCATCTGCTCACCTGAAAGGGGCCCATCAGTAGATACTGTTAACAGCCCCATTTCCTAGCTGGGGATACCAAGGCTCAGAGGGGAAAGGTTCATGGGATCAAGCCCAGCCCTGGGGGTTCTGAGCTGGAGGCCTCAACCTCGGCTTCCTCTTCTCCCAAGGAAAAATTTCCCAAGCTCCTCCCTCCATTTGGCTGCTGAGGCTAAAAGACCAGGGTCACTGGAGAGCTACATCCTTCCCCCTTCTTAGGGCCACATTCTGGTACAGGGCAGACAAGCCAAGGGTCTTAAACTCAAAGGTTTCCAGGGCCAGGAGTCCCCAGGCAAATGTAAAATGAGCCTGGGCGACTATTAGGGAGGAGTGAGGAGTGTGGCACTCCCGTGGCCACTTCTAGTCTGACCCAGGCACTTGATGCCAAGCAAGACTTGGGCCTAGGGAGGCCAGAATATGAGGATTATAACAACAGCTGCCAGGGGCATAGATAGGGTCAATGCACTCAACACCCATTAACTTATGCAGTCCCCCTGGGGAGGGTGTAGTTATCACCCCATTTTACAGAAAAGGAACCTGAGTCCACTTGGCCAAATTCACACACCCAAACATGCTGGAGTCAGGCCTAAGGCCTAAGGCCTAAGGCCCATGTACACCACCACTAAACTCTAAAGATCTGTGGGTGTTTGCTAAGCAATGCAAAAATCCAAATCTTGATGCAAAATATAAATATTGGCAGCTAATTAAAAACGAAAAAGATTTGAAATGCTATGCAGGTGAAACAAAAACCAGCAAGCAGGCCTCGGCCCCCAGCTGTCAATCTGCAATCACTGGTACAGGCTGAGCTAACTGGGCCATTCTCCCTTGGACCACATTCTTAGAAAAACCAACAAGGAGGAAGCAATGAAACAGAGCAGTCTGTGCTGACCCCCAGGCCCAGGCCCTTGACATACTCTCTCGTTTGTTCCTTGAAACTAGACAAGATGTCCACTGTAAAGATCCATAGTGCAAAGAGGCAAACAGGTTCTCATTCAAAATGAGGCCTGCCTGCCGTCCCCCTATGGCAGGGCTCGGTAGCTAAGAAACCTGACCCACGCTCCAGAAATAAAAAGAAGTTAGCTCTGTTTGAGCAACCCATCTCCGAGAAGCTTTTTTAAAACTCTGGTTCTCAGGCCCCGAACTAATGCTCTCAACGATCAAGGTCATATTGCAGGCTTCTGGGAGGAGGTTGCCACAGAAGCCAGCTCAGTAGTAGATGCCTGGATGGGTGGGTAAGAGAGAAAGGCGAAGGGCAGAGAGACTGAGGGGAGGTGGGCAGGGGAGAGAGACCCCAGGTCCCCAACCTAGAGCCCCCAGTTCCTCACTGAACGGCCTTGAGCAAGAGTGCTCTGCTGAGCCTCCGTTTTCTGCTCTGTAAAATGGGATCATAGCAGTGCCAGCCTCGTCAAGCTTAAATGCAGTCCAGTGTGTAACTTGAGCACTTTCATTCTGATTAGTTTTTGTTGATGATATGAGAGGAACCAGCATGGTGAATAACAGCCTGTCCCTGTCGACCTACCGTGTGCCACGCACTGTGTTAAGTAAGCACTTTCAACACATCATGTCCCTGCATCATGGCAACAGTCTTGTCGAGGGACCATCACCCCATTTTTAGGAGGGGAAACTGAGGCTCAGAGAGGCCAAACCACCTGAGCAAAGTCCCAAGGCAAATGAAATAGACAGAACTTTGCTGTGTGCCCATCGAAAGCCTGGGCAGGGAGGAAGATAACCATGCAAAGGGGCCCACAGCCCAGCCCAAGGCTCAGCCCAGGCCCGGCTGACCCCAAGTCCACACCTTTCCGCCACAGTGGACAACAGGCAAGGCGCCAGAGACAAAGCAGCAAAGGAGGAAATTCATGCCGCTGACAGCCAAACTCCAGGCCTCCGGGAAGGCAGGGCGGGGCTGGGCACCCAGCTGGGTTCCAGTGAGCCCTAGCCTGGTGCCCTTGGGCCAAGAATGAGTCTTTTCTGAGCCTCCCTGCTCCTGTCTAAGGTGGGGATAAGAGAACTTCCACCTCGCTCACTATGGGGTTCAAGAGGCTGACAAAAGAACTCAGCCTGGGGCCTGCCAGATGAACATTACCCCTCAACACCGATAACAACCACAGTAATACTAACGATTACTGTGATGTTATCGTTTGGCAGCCACAGGCACAAATGGAGTCCTTCCCAGAATGGAGAAGTGACAGCCCATCTAGGAGGCAGAAGGGCAAGAGGCGGGGGAAGGGAGAGGAAAGAACCAAACACCCCTGGAGGCCACATGTCCAGCTCTCATTCATCAGCTTCCTGAATCCTGGAAACAGCCCAGAGAGTGGAGTTTGCCCACCGGACAGATGGGCACACTGAGGCTTCTCAGGGCTGCCCAAAAGCCTGATAAGGCTCCAACGAGGGCCCCCAATTTGCAGGCTTTCGCTTGGGAGCTGGCCTCTGTGTTCTGGGATACCAGAGCACCCTGACAAGGGCCGGGAAAGAATCCTGCAGAAAGGTTCCCCCCCGCCCCCAGGGCCTACTTCCAACTGATAGGGAAATTCAGGTTTCATCCTTCAGCTCCCTTGTCCTCTGCATGCTCCCACCACCTCCTCCCTACTGCAGAGGTGGGGCCAGGCAGCCAGGGCCTGCCAGGGCACTGATGGGCAGACTAAGATAAGGCCGACACCTGTACAGACGAAAGGATCTATTTGTGAGAGAAGCCAGCGTTTGCCAGGGACCAGGCTTTAGAGTCTGTCTAGGAGAACCAGACAACCGAGTCCCCTAGGGTCCAGCCAGCCAGTCAGACTGCAGAGGCTTGCCAGAGTAACCCAACAGAGGCACGGCTAAGTGTTAAAGTCTGCGAGGGGCACGGACGGGCCGCCAGACAGCACAGGTCACCCCAGACAGCTAGCCAGGCAGCAGGGGGCCACCCTGAGGGAATGGGCAGATGGACAGCCAAATGGTGGTGGCAAGGGGTTCTATCCAGGACAGAGAGACAGCTAACCAGACGGCAGGGGCTGCTCCAGATAAATGAACAGCCAGCCAGACCACAGGGGTTCGAACCAATAGGTATCTAGCTGGCAGGTTTCGGACAGACAGAGAAGAGGGACCCTGAACCACAGGCAACCAGATGGTAGAATTCAGCCACGAAAGGGGGGACCAGAAGAGTCGGCGACGGTCCACCGCACTTCCTGGCCCACGCCCCCCCCCAGTCGGTGAGACGCCCCAAGGGCCTGAGCCGGCTCCCCAACCCCTGCAGGAAGCCCTCCGCCCAGGGCGTCCCACAGAGCCCGCCTCCCCGTCCCCGTCCCCGTCGCGGGGACGCAAGCGCCGCAGTTACGCCGGCTGCGCAGGGCGCGCCATTCCCGGTCCGCCCTCCGCGCCCTAGGCCGCCGCCCGCCCGCCGTCGCCGCCGCGCTCGCTCACCGGCCGACGAAGTTCTCGAGCACCGAGCTCTTGCCGGCGCTCTGGCCGCCCACCACGGCGATCTGCGGCAGGTCCAGGTGGCAGCTCTGGCCGATGGAGCTGAAAGCGTCCTGCAGCTTGTTGACCAGCGGGATCAGCTCTTCCATCCCGCGGTTGCCCATGGCGCCGGCGGCCCCGGCCCGAGCGCCCCGCGCTCCCCGCCTGCCCCCGGCCCTTAACGACGCGGCCCCGCGGCGTCCGCAGCCGTTGCTCCCCGCCCGCCCGGGCCTCGGCGCGACGCCCGCTCCCGGCTCGGCCTCACAGTCGCCGCCTCATCCGGTTCTCAGACGACACCCGACCCGAGCGACCTCCCGCCCGGGCTCCGGGGCTGCGCCCAAAGCCCTCACACCGCCCCCGATTGGCCGGCCGCGCTGCCACTCGTACACACGAGCCAGTGAAAGAGAGGCATAGGCCTATGGTTGAGTGAACCTTCCCCCAGGAGATCTCCCGGTGGGTTCATTGGACTCCAGAACTGTCGTTTTTCCGCAAGAGCCAATAGCGTGGGGGCAGCGAGTTGTCAAGGCCAGGAGGCGGTGTTTCGGGAAAAGCCAATGTTGGCTCCGCCTATTATGGGAGGCCCCGACGGCAAGAAAACCCAAGTCTTATTGGCAGGAAGACCCGCCAGTCAAAAGTGCCGGCCAATGACATTAGGGATCGATTCATAGACTGGTTTGTCACTTGACACTAACTAGTTTCCTAAGAATTCCCCATTGGTTTATATAAATATCATTTCGTTCCTCCAGCCAACAAAGCCAGAGAGGACGGGCTTTGACCTCCGAATCCTGACTTTGATTGAGGACTTCTCTGTCAATCAAAGAATCTCCCGTTTTGTGACTGTTGTAGGTCTATTAGTCTTCCGGAGTAAAGGATAAGGCCCACCGTACTCGCCGAAGGGCGACACCTCGTGGTGGGACTCGGTAGTGTCCATCGCTTCTGAGCTTCCGGCCTCTAAGGAGAACTACAAGTCCCAGAATGCATCTCGGCCCGGGGCTTGCAAACCAGCTTTTCGCGCGGGGTTTCAAATTTTTTTTTTTTTTTTTTTTAAGATTTTTTTATTTATTTGCGAGAGAGAGAATGAGAGACAGAGAGCATGAGAGGGAGGAGGGTCAGAGGGAGAAACAGACTCCCTGCTGAGCAGGGAGCCTGATGTGGGACTCGATCCCGGGACTCCAGGATCATGACCTGAGCCGAAGGCAGTCGCTTAACCAACTGAGCCACCCAGGCGCCCCTCGCGCGGGGTTTCAAAGCGCTTTGAAGAGGAGTCCGGCGTTAGTAGTTCCTAGGGAGAGGCGGTCTAGCGCTGCATCGTTGGCTCTCATTTTCATTCCTGTAAAGTCCCACCTTCACGCTTTTGCAAATGCTGTGCCCTTTCCTAGGATTACCTTCTGCTCACGCCCCGACTTGATTCGGCTAACGCCTGCCTGCACGTTGTTCCCCTGCCTCTTCGACTTGAGCGCATCGTGACCTTTTTGAGTACCCAATGAAACTCAGTGGATCCTCTCCCCTTGAAAAGATACTATTCTGCAGTCGGTGTTGGAGGCTCCGGGATCTAGGGATCTTGACCTCGTGGGAAAAAAAGCCGGAGACAGGTGGAAGGATTTTATGAAAAGAAGTGATTTGATCCCCCTAGGCATAGATTGGCCAGAAAGAAGCCCAATAAGGAGTCAGATGCAACGGAGGTAGGGAAGTGGGCTGATGAGGCCGTAACAGGGGAGTGGCAGAGCGGCCAATGGTATATGCCTGCTCCAAGACCGAAAACCCTGGTCTCAGAGAGGTGGGCAAAAAGTTAACCGACAAGGCTTGGCACTGGAGCCTTGACCACGGTGACGGAAACCTGGAAACACCCTCCATCCCCTTCATTGAGCTGGTTAAGTAAATACTGTGCAACAGCTCTAAGACAGGAAGTCTTCATGTTCTGACGTGTAAACAATCTGAAATATACTAAGAGAAAAAAAGGTACAGAACTGCACATCAAGGGCGCCCACATTCATGAAGAATATATACACACGAAAAATCTCTGGGAGAATCACAAACTGGTCAAAAAGTTGCATTTTTATGCTATTAGAATAGTGGATCCTACACATTGTATACATGGATTACTTTTTCAATATAAAAACCCTTATCTTGGGGCGCCTGGGTGGCTCAGTCGTTGAGCGTCTGCCTTCGGCTGGGGTCATGGTCCCAGGGTCCTGGGATCGAGCCCCGCATCGGGCTCCCTGCTCTGCGGGAAGCCTGCTTCTCCCTCTCCCACTCCCCCTGCTTGTGTTCCTGCTCTCACTCTCTTTAAAAAAAAAAAAAAAATCTTAAAAAAAAGAACAGTACCGGGCACAGCGTAAGCACCTGCTAGATCACACCTACTGCCTTCATCACTGTGTTTACCGACAGCAAAATTAAGCCACGTGTCAATAGTCAAGGCTCAGAGCATGAGCTCTGGAGCCAGGGGGCTACCTCTCAGTGGTGACCTTGGGTAAGCTACTTTCCCTCTCCACCTGTTTCCTCACCTGTGAAAAGTGGGGTAACAAGTGCCCCCCACAGGTGGCCGGGGGGCCTGAGCCACAGGAAAAGGGATGCACCTCCCGTGCTGGAGTATATCCTACATGCTGGGCTACGCCAGGTGGTTTCCAGAGATCAGCTGCTGCTATGGTTACTTATTATTAATAGTGGGGGCGTGGGGGAGGATGGGGGGACGGGGACGACACACTGGCCACAGTGACACTCAGAGGAAGAAGAGGACCAAGACAGGCCACCTTCCCAAGAAGGCACAGATATACTCTAAATTAGAATAATAATTTAAAAAAATCCTTCAATACCTCCCATTCCCTCCCCTCCCCTCCCTCCCTCCCCCAAGCCAGATCAACTCAGTGTGATCCCCACCGAGGCCAGGGCTTCAGTGGCCCAGGTGGGACAGAGGGTGGGGTCCCCATACATGGTGCCCATGAAGTCCCGTACGAAGTCAGGGAAGCGCTTCTCCACAATGCTGGCACGCACGGCGCTCATCAGCTGTAGCTGTGGGGGGGGAGGGGGTAGGTGTCAGCCAAGGGGCCCCAGGGCCCTCCCCCGCGCCGACCCCGAGCCTGGCCCGCCCTGGCCAAAGGCCCACCTGGTAGGCGATGTTGTGGACAGTGAGGTGGTGCAGGGCAGCCGTGTTGTCACTGTGCAGAAGTGCGTGCAGGAAGGCCCGGCTGTGCCTGTGGACAGGAGGCTGGGGCTCAGCCACGCGGAGTCCTGCACCCCGCCACACCCTCCCCCAGCCCCCAGGCCCAGCTCCGCCTACTTCTGGCAGGTGGGACAGGCACAGTTGGAGTCTATGGGCTGGAAGTCCTTCTCATACTGCTTCTTCTTCAGTTGCAGGTTCCCAGTGGGCACCAAAGCGGAGCCAAAGCGCTGGGGGAGGGGTGGACGAGGGGAAGGTGGGGGTCAACCAGGCCTTCATCCGCACCAGCCCCACCCCAACCTTGGCCCCCCTAGCGCCCCACCCGTCGTCTGCCCCCTGCCAGGGCCTCACCGCCGTCCGCGTGGGGAAGACGCAGTCGAACATGTCACATCCAAGAGCCACGCAGACCACCAGATCGGTGGCATAGCTGGGAGGAGGGCCATGGAGGGAGGGAGCAGAGAACCTCATGCCCTGGTCACACACCCAGGCCTCCCCCCATCACAGACACTCCGACTCCCCAGGGACTGGACCACATTCCCTCTGAACCGCCCCCAGAGGAAAGCCATGTCCTCCTTTAGTCCCCTCCCAGGCAGGGCTGTGTCCTTCCACCAACACCAGCCCAGGCAGGAATCCCCAGGAACCCCCTCCCACAGGTAGGGCTATTTCCCCTCGTCTCCACATACCCGACCCCCATCAGGTAGCGTGGCTTGTCCTTAGGCAGCCTTGAGGTGCTCAGGGCCACCATCCTCCAGAACTGGCCCTTGCTCTCGCCCCCGCTCAGGCCCCCAATGGCGAAGCCTGGCACGTCCCTCTTGGTCATCTCTGGGGGTACAGGGCAAGGTGAGGAGTCACCGGGCGAAAGAAAATGCGCCTCCTCCTCTGCAGCCCCAGGGCAGACCCTGCCCAGACCAGGGCAGACCCTCGGGAAGAAAGAGAGAGAAGTGGGGGAAGGGCGGGTATCTGTCTGTCTTTCCATCTGTCTGTCTAAAGGCCGCTGGTGAGCTCAGCTACCATATGTTGAACGCCTGCTGTGTGTGAAGCTCCCTCCGCTCCTTCAGTCCTCAGGAGAGGCCTACAGCCTGTACACCCTTCACTGACAGCGAAGATGACGCCTTGTACGTTTCCAAACTGAGCATTTTCCAGGTTTTAGAACAGCGAACATCCCACATGCAAGGTAACAGCCTGTCCTCAAAATCTGTAACGTTTCTGCACCAAAACATGAAGAGACTCCCAACAACCGGGGTAAATAACCCCGTAGGTCTGATCTGGTCTGGCCCGCAAAGGAGTGGGTTGCCGCATATGCCAGAGGCTGGGTTTAAGCCCAGGTCTAGTCTCCAAGCCCGGCCTTGCCTTGGGCCCCAGCTGCCTAGTTGAACCATGGGAGGCCACAGCATCGACAAAACGGACCCGTCCGAAGGGTCAGATTTCGAAGCTGGAATGAGCAGTCCAACCCACTGGAGACAAGTTGTTCAAATGTGGCCTCCCAGCCACCCCACCCCCACCCCGACCTCACCGTGGACTCCGATCCCATCCTGGGAAGAACCCAGGCGGTGCTGCTGCTGGTGCAGGGGAGCTTAGAGCGCTTCGAGAAGCATCACCAGTGTGGCCAAAACTGAATTTGCTAGGGCAAGACCAGCGTGGTAGGTTTTTTTTGTTTTTCAAATGAGAGCACAGAGAATGCCAGAAAATGTTTCACGTGTAAGGGTAACGTTTCATGAAGTCTTGGTTTCTGCTTTCATCTATGTCCACACATACTGAGCTGTGACGTGAAGTGTATCTCTGCCTGGGGGTCTCCTTTAAAATGGCTCACTGGACCGGGAGCTGGGCACAGCTTGAGGACAAAAGGAATTACAACAAGGACAGTCTGCACAACGGTACACATGGATGCCAGGTGCAGGCACAGGACTAAACAGACCTTCCCGTTTATCCTCACTTCGACCCCATGACATTGGGAATATGTGCCCATTTCACAGAGGAAAAAAGGGAGGCTCAGAGAGGCCAAGGGTGCAGAACCATGAGGCAGCAGATCAGAGGTCTGGATCCAGCCAAACAAACTCTAGGACCCAGAGTCTTGCCTATGACACTTCGTTGCCTTTGCGCCCCCATCTCTGCCTCCCTTTTGTCTCCATGGCCATGGCCTTGGTATAGGTCTCTCACTCTTCTCCTGGGCAAATACTCCAACCTCTTCATGGGCCTTCTGCTTCCTATCCTACTGGGATTTTTCCATGATTCCTCTTGGTCCCTGTCACTTGCCCACTCAGCAGCCCTCCATGGCTCCCCAGTACCTCAGCGTGGTATCCCAGGGCCTCCAGTGTCAGCACAATCCCTGGACCCCACCCCTAACTCCTGACCCTGGGGAGGAAGCAGCACCTGTATCAGTTAATGCTGTAGGTTCTACAGCCCAGGAACTGGGTCCAAATCTCAGCTCTGCAATGTCCAAGCTGCGTGGCTTGGGGTAAGTGACTTTACAGCTCTGTGCTTCAGGTTCCTCTTCTGTAACCTCGGGAACCTGGTAGTTCCCACCTTACAGGATGGCTATGAAAACTCAATGGGGCAATCTGTGACCGGCATATGGCGTAGCGTCTGATGACTACCCCCAAATCGCTAGCTATTGGAATTACTATCATTCTGCAAACATTCTAGTCCATTCTGCCCCCGGGCCTTTGCTTCAGCTATTCCTTCCACCCATTAACAACCACCGTCCACACCACCACATGCCAGGCCCATGTGGGGCCCTCAGTGATGGATGAGCCCTGGATGGACCAGCACATGGCTCTACCTTCGAGGCAGGTGGCCCGGAGATCCGCGTCTAGCCCACCCTGGATGATGGCAAAGAGGTTTTGTTTGTCTGGCCGCTGATGGGCTGCAATGCATCGGTCCAGCCAGCGGATTGACCTGTAAGAGGGCCCTAGTCATGAGCCCTAGGGTAAGGAGACAAGGCTACAGGACTCGGATCCCCTCCCCCCCACACACACACACACAAACACACACACACACCTGTACATGGCCTCCTCCACGCGTGGCCCCGTCACAGTGCTGCTGACCACATCATCCAGTTGCATGATGATGTCTGAGCCTGGGGGGTGAGACAGAAGCACCATCACTGGGAAAGCCTTCACTTCCTTTTGGGGATAAGCTGGACCCTAGAAGTCCCTCCTTGGGTCTTGCTGACTCCCACGAAGCCCCCCAGTCTGTTTATGCAACAACCAGAGGGAGCTTTTGAAAATACCCATTTGGTCTTGCCTCACCCCAGCTAAAACCCGGCCCAGGCACATGGAATAAAATCCCACTCCTGCACGTTTACCCTTCAAGAGCAAAATGTTGTTAATACAAAGTGATCCGCCATGGCGTGGCGGGTAATAGCATAATGGGAGCCCAAGTGACCATCAACATCTGGCTAAATAAATCATGGTCCAACCCTTAACAGAATGTTCCTTTCCCACAATTCCAAAATCTAGAAACTTCTCAAAATCAAAGACTTTATCTTACGCTTACGGCATACCTAATTTCACAGCAAAACCCAAGACAGTGATAATCTTTTATAAAATCCAATTTAACGGGTGCCTTATTCAGTCTTAAAAAGGAAGAAAATTCTGACATATACTACAACTTTGTGGCCATTATGCTCAGTGAAATAAGCCAGACACAAAAATGACAAGTATTGTATGATGCCATTTAGATGAGGTCCCTAGAGAAGTCAAATTCATAGAGACGGGAAGTAGATGGCGAGAGCCAGAGGCTGGCGGAGGGGAATGGAGAGTTAGTGTTTAATGGGCACAGAGTTTCAGTTTTGCAAGATGAAGAGTTCTGGAGAGGGATGGTGGTGATGGTTGCACAACAATGCAAATGTGCTTAGTGCCACTAAATCGGACACTTAAACTTGGTTATAGGGCGCCTGGGTGGCTCAGTTGGTTAAGCGACGGCCTTCGGCTCAGGTCATGATCCCGGAGTCCCGGGATCGAGTCCCGCATCGGGCTACCTGCTCAGCAGGGAGTCTGCTTCTCCCTCTCCCACTCCCCCCTCTGTGCTCTCTCTCTCTCACTCTCTCTCAAATAAATAAATGAAATCTTTAAACATGGTTATAGGGGCGCCTGGGTGGCTCAGTCGTTAAGCGTCTGCCTTTGGCTCAGGTCATGATCTCCAAGTCCTGGGATCGAGCCCCGCATCAGGCTCCCTGCTCAGCGGGGAGTCTGCTTCTCCCTCTCCCTCTGCCTCTCCCCACTGCTCCTACTCTCTCTCTCTCTCTGTATCTCTCTGTCTCAAATAAATAAATTAAAAAAAAAAAATTCTATTTAAACATGGTCATAGTGGGGCGCCTGGCCAGCTTAGTCAGTAGAGCATGCCATTCTTGGTCTCACAGTCATGTGTTCAAGCCCCACGTTGGGCATGGAGCCTATTTAAAAAAATGAGTATGTTTTAAAAATAAATAAATAAATAAGGTTATAGTGGCAACTATTTTTAATGGTAAATTTTATGTTGCCACAATTTTTTTTTATTTTTTTTTATTTTTTAAGATTTTATTTATTTGACAGAAAGACACAGCAAGAGAGGGAACACAAGCAGGGGGAGCGGGAGAGGGAGAAGCAGGCTTCCCACCGAGCAGGGAGCCCGATGCGGGGCTAGATCCCAGGACCCTTGGGACCATGACCTGAGCTGAAGGCAGACGCTTAACGACTGAGCCACCCAGGTGCCCGGTCACAATTTTTTTTTTTAATGGAAAAGGAACAAGTAAAAGAAACAAGTAAAGTTTAACAGGGTACTGTCCCAGACCTACTAAGATGCTATGTATGCTGCATTATCCTTATAAAATATTACAATTCTGAATTGACCTGAAGAATTTCAGATTAGGGGCTATGGATTTATACATGTTAGAAAAGCTCAGGGGAATATTGTCAAGATGGATCTTTATAGGAAAAAAGCAGAGTGCACCACACAAACCAAAGATGGGGCAATTTGAGAATCAATAGGATAGATTCCACTGCAAGAGATTGAGACACAGCAAATACATTTAAACCCATGATTAAACAAACAAACAAACAAACCCCTCATTTCATGGTGATCCTAAAAACACTAAAGATTAATTCATCATTGCTGGAGGATGCTAAGTAATCAAGCCATGAAAACTAGTAAATAAGGAAAAGAACGAATCCCATTTTCCTATATGAACTGAACTTCTTGGTCACCCAGGAGTAGGTGATGGATGTTTCTCTTCACAGAAATAATCTGGCTGATAAATGAAGAACGAACATTACCACTTTGGAACTCCTAATGGCAGAAAAAAACTGTTACACAGCACCATGGGGATGTAATCAGCAAAATTCAGACCCTGTGAGATCCTACCGGGGAAAGGAACTCGTTTCTTGAAGGAG